AGACACACACACCTGAGTATTTTCACGTGACAACGGGCGCTGGATACTTCACCTGGCCTTAAGGTGCACCTAGCCTGGCACAAGCGCCGTGGTGTCCTCACTGCCACGTGGTGGCGAATGGCGAGTATTGGTCAGGTGTGAGTTTGATCCCTGCTCACGGCCACCAAAATCAGTGACGATTTTCTGAACCGACTCAGTGGGCCTCCCCTCGGTCGACTCAGCCTCAAAATGAGAAGCAAAATGAATAGTGGCCGTGTGTGTTGAACACTGCCGCTGGGGAGACAAAGGCGGCCGGGGCGGGCATGGTGCTCACCACCCACAAGGGGGACCCATGATGTTCGTTTGGAACCCGCCCGTGCTGTGGCTGCACTGGGGTGGAAATTAATGCGAGACGGAACGAATAAATTATGTTAATTAATTTTCAATATATGGAGGGGTTGGCTGGCAAGAAATGGACCCACAGCGGATGATAAACTATTTTAATGTTTTCTAATCCCCATATATTGCTTGGGTTCCGAGACAGGAAGAATAATTTATGATGTTAATGTTATTACCCATATATGGAGGCATTGGGCGTGGCTGCGCTAGGACGAAACGAACCCACGATCGAAAGGGGGAACCACAGCGTCTCCCCTGTCCATTGACGAGGGCCACAGGTTGTTGCCTGCACAATTTCATTGAAAACAACAACAGCAAACATCGTGACATTACCGTAAAGTTTCACAACGTATGGGCATGGTACTAGCGGGACGTACCCGGCGTTGCCCGGGCGAGAAATATATTTCAAAATTTCTCTTAAAAACCTTACATATACATACACAGATACTAAGCTCTTTTGGTAAAGTCACGTTGAAGGGAAACAATAAAATAATAAAATATATAAAAAATAAAAATTCTCACGACGTTTCGACCATAACACAAACGGTCATCATCAGGTGTGAATACCAACGGGAAGAAACATTTGAAAGAAGTGGCGGTTAGCAATTATTTATTTATTTCAAACGGTGTTCGTGTTTACTTATTTATTTAAAAATTCAAAGGTATTTCCCTATCCCCAGACGACCTGCTTGTCAGTTTTTATGTAGTTTCCTTATTCACCAAAGTTCCTGTACCTGACACCATCGCAATCATTGAAGACTTGGTTCATCAAGGACTAAACACTGAGGTACCCCCCCTGGTGAGACACTGCTTAATCAATACATACTTCACTTGGAATGGAACTTTCTACAAACAAACTGAGGACGCCATCCAGACTGCCACTCTGCGCCCAACCTTATGGAAGAGGTACGTGGAAAACACTTTTGTCATCTGGCCACATGCCGGCCTGCTCTAGACCAATTCTTCGACCACATCAATTCCATACACCCAGCCATCAGATTTAGCATGGAAGTTGAAAAAGATGGCAGGCTACCTTTTTTGGATGTCCTAATAAAAAAGAGACCTGATGGTTCAATGAGCCACTCTGTCTACAGGAAAGCTACCCATACGGATGCTTATCTAAAACCGGATTCCCACCACCATTCATCACAGAAGAATTATCTTATCAAGACTCTGTACCATAGAGCCCAATGCATATCCGACCAGGAACACATAGGCAGTGAATTCAAGCACGTACACCAAGCTCTTAAGGCTAATGGTTAATCCGACTATACAATCCGCAAAGCTATCACTCAAACCATGAAGAAGGACCCTCTTGAGGAGCGTTTCAAAACCATCACTTTACCCTACATTGCGGGGATCACAAAAAATATCTCCAAAATCTTGAATAAACACAAGATCCAGGTCCGTTTCAACACATTACATAAATCCGTGATCTGGTTCCGTCTGTAAAAGATGTGATTCCGGGCATACAGTACCCTGGTGTCTACAAACTAAGTTGCCTCTGTGGTAGTAGTTACATTGGAGAAACCAAACGCCATGTCTCGGACCGCATTCGTGAACACAAAGCAGACCTTAAACACGGTAGGACCAACACCTCGGCCGTGGCAGATCATTGTTATAATTCAGTAGGCTCACATTACATTGACTTCTCCAAGACAGAGGTTCTTTGTAAGCCATCTGGCTACCATGAGAGATTCGTTCATGAGGCTATCCACATATACAAGCACAGAGACAATTTCAACCGAGAAGATGGATTCTGGCTTAGCAATCATTGGAAGGATTTGATAAACCATTTCAGGTCTTAATTGATTGTTCACGCTTACGGTGGCTTTCAGACAGCATACATTAATTTTTCGTCTCCCCCCTCCTCTTTTCAGAACATAGATGGACTCGTCCTTCTAAAAAAACTGCCAAATCGCTGCCCGTGGTGATAACGTTTTTTTAAAAAATAAATAAAAAACACAAAACACCGTTTAAAAATAAAGAAATAAATGCAAACTGCCACTTCTTTCAAATGTTTCTTGCCGTTGGTTTTCACACCTGATGATGACCGTTTGTGTTATGGTCGAAACGTCGTGAGAATTTATATATTTATATATTTTATTATTTATTTGTTTCCCTTCAACATGACTTTACTGAAAGAGCTAAGAATATGAATTACTGCAGTCACGAAAGCTTTACATCAAAAGATACTAAGCTATAGTGAAAGCTCGGTGGGCCGGTAGTCCATTCCTCCACCAACAAAATTATAAAAGGCTTGCACAAATCGAAAAAGTTATAGAAAGTGGGGGGTAAAGAGTTGATATAAAAGGTTTCCGAAAATTTTCGACCCCCCCTCCCCTAAAAAAAAATATTTATCCCTACGTAGGAATATATAACTACACACCCTACATGCAACAGAGTAAGTAGTATATATTGACTCTGTAGTTGTATCTACTGACTGCACAGTAGTATCTGCTGAGCCAGTAGTAGCTACTGAATGTTTAGTAGTATTTACTGACTGTAGTAATAACTGACTATAGTAGTATCTACTGGCGCTACAGTAGTATCTACCAACTCTATAGTAGTATCTACTGACTCTATAGCAGTGCAGTTACTGTGCTTGTCACTGTATGGTGCTGGCGCTTACAAAGCCACGGCGGGTAATGTGTTGTTATTATGGGCAGCCCGGGTTATGGGGTGTAGTACCAGCACTAGCGGGGCTTGGGTGAGCGCTGGTTAGCGCGGAGGCACCGTGAGCAGTGTTCGGTGCGGGCTCCCGGTGAGGGAGCGTCAGCCAGCCAGAGTTACCTTGGGGCATGATATGCTGGTTGACCTACTGACACGTGACCGGATGATATTGGAGGGGGGGCACCGGTGGACCGGGGCCACGGAGCGGTCACGTGGTCCAAAAGAGCTCTCGGGAACCTTCGAGAAGGAGCTCGAGAGACCTGGAAGGTGGGCGGGGCGAAGGGCGGAGCCAGCCCCAGCCCGGGGGCATCTAACGAGGGCCCCATGAGGAGCTCGAGGTTCTTCGTGTGCTGGTGTTACGAAGATCCACGTCGGGGAGAAGAAGTCTCTAGCCACGTGGTCCAGGACCCAGCTTGTGGTCCGGACCGGGATAGCGAACCGTGTCTAGTTCTGCTGTAGCGTCGTTAGATGGGCATTCAAGACCCGAGTGTAGATTGTGTTATGTTACGTACCGTTGTGTAAATAAATAGTGTTGCTTCGAAGATAACGTCTGCGACTCAGTTTGACTCACTACAGTAGTAACTACTAACTCTCTAGCAGTATCAAATGACTCAATAGTAGTGTCTACTGGCTGTGTAGTAGCATTTACTGACTGTAGCAGTATTTACTGACCGTAGTGGTATATACTGACTGTTTTAGTAGCGACTAACTCTATATAGCAGTATCTACCAACTCGATAGCAGTACCTGCTATCACTACAGCATTGCATACCGACTGTGGTGGTACCTGCTATCACTACAACAGTGCATACCGATTATTGTCGTACCTGCTATCACTACAGCAGTGCATACCGACTGTGTGCACACATTGGTGGGGGGGGGGGGGGGGGGGAAGAGGACACGACACTTTTATGAATTGACCTCAGCGTTGAGTCGATTTTTTTTTCCATATTGAACGCGAATGAGAAATCCCCCCCTGCTCCACCGATGACGCGTGTGCGTTGCTAGGGGCAACCCCCGGGCAGCTTTAGCGGCGCGATGAAATAATTAAATAATATTGCAATAGCACTAAATTGTTCACTTAACTACTTTCAAGTTTACTGATGGCAAAACGGTATAGCGCTGCCTTACCACGGGGCTTACGGCGTGGTACCCGGGTACTGTTTTTGAACGTAAATCCAACGGTTTTCGAGCCATATCCTTCGCAAGTGCGCATCCACAGACAGACAGAGACAGACAGAGACAGACAGACAAAAAAATACTTTCATAGGTAAGATCGTCTTTGAGACTGGTTGGTCCACACCAGAGACAGGGCCCAGTCTCACCACCAGTGCCAGACCAGAGCACTCCAAAAGGCGAGCAGCATATTTGCATGTTCACCACAAGGAGCCTGTGTGTGGTGAATGCAGTGACATTATCCTTTGCTGAAGGCTTCTCTTTGGGGTTTGAACATCTTAACACGAATGTTTTATTGCCAGAAAGGGTTAAAACCTCTTGTTATTTTTTCAAACTTTAATACTGACAAAAAAGGTCCCATGTTGTAGCTGCTCACCCCCAGTCAAGTTTAAGATGATGTACGCCATGGGAATGCAATGGTTTGGTATGCAATCACTGTATGGAGTTTAATACAAAATATGACTCTCACAGAATCAAGTTAAAGATGAAATAGGACATCGGAATACCGTATATACACTGAATCGCAGAAATGATAAAATCGGACATTAGCATAACAAAGATTCATAAGCATGAAAAATACATTTTACACAGCGTCTTAACATAGCAGTACCATCGACTACATGAACACATTAATATAAAAATAAATAAACACCTGACATCAATGCAGAGGTTTTGTAAGCTCTGCGAACCGCGAAATGTAATATAAATTCCACGGGGCCATGGCGCTGCTCAGCTGATCAGCTGGCCGTCTGTTTTGTTGTACAGTACTCCATGGTGCACATTCATTTTGCCCTTAATCATGGACCCAAGCATGCAGCGAGAATGAGAGGGAGTTGCGTCTGTGGTCTGAAGGGGGCATGGCTGGGCTGAGCCCCTCCTCCTTCTAACCAGCCCTTCCCCATCATCTCATTGTCATCGTCATCATCATCGTCGTTAATACTTCTTAATTATAATCATCGTGAATATTTAAAGGTATGTGAAGTTAATGTCGTGTTTATATTTTTTTATTACGTAACAGTTTAGGAAATAAATAGGAAACTTAGTTAAGCAATGACGAGACTAGCCACACGCGTGGTTCCCCTAACCCCTACAACCCATATGCCCCTTGTAACTTTATCAAACGCGAGGGTTTTCAGGAACCTGAACCCTCGCGGTTGGCCAGGGAGCTACTCTACATACATACAGGGGTCGCATTGGCGACCGCTCAAATAGGAGCCTCTCATCGCTAACGACGAGCGTCTAAGTAAGGCAACGGGCATATTGAGAGACTTTCGCACAGCACGGCCATTGCAGGGTACAGCTCTCGATCAAATTTTCCGTGAAATCGATGCAGCAGCGACATGGAGTCGGCGCTGTAGAATGACAAGACGCCCGCCTCCCAGTCCAGGTGAACCCCGACTCTTTTGGGAGCATCTCGCACCGGCAGTTTTGTTTCTGTCTCGTTATGTACCGCCGTGTAGGCGTTGCCCCGTTTCTTAAGGCTCCACGAAACTTCATTGAACCCAATTTTACAGGCTTCGTCATCACCTTTCCGTGGTATCGCGTCATACGTGACACCGATGACGAATTTCTCACAACCTCTCACGTCCACCTCCCAGTAGTGGCGACCGAACACGAATTTCTCAGAGCAAATGACCACTTGGTAGTGGTCAAACCTGCCTGAGTTGTCAGGGTAAGGTTGGGTGTGTGTGGAAGTCCTGACGGTTTTAAAGTCGGCAGAAATCTGGAGGTTCCGATGTGCAGTGTTTGGGTTCAGAGTCGGCGAGCAAGTGCCTGTAAACGATAACAATGCAAATATTGTGTTAAGTGAACATTTACTTTTAAGAAATATACTTTGCAATTGGCAATATGTCAGTAAGAGTACAAACATTTGCTGAAAGTTTTAGCGTACCAGGCTGCAATTTACACAGCTGATGTAGTCTTTATCAGGGTTTCCTAGGTTTCTGCCCTAGGTTCCACCCTGACTATGAAAGGCAAATCAAATAGAGCCCAAGCATATCAACCGACTGACTCAATCTCACTCTCAGTCAACTGTCCACCAAACTGTCTGATGGCTTCAGGACATGTTTGGTCGTTACCAATGGCGCCGCCGGTAATCCAGCACTTTGGGGGCGAGGGTTGGTGGATCACAAACGATTCGTGAAACTCCCTACGCAAGGGCGACAAAGTCGCCACCTGCTGCAATGCCTGGGTATGGCAGTACAGCATGTGGATTAATCTTCATCTAGGAGCCATCCATACGGGGATTACGTGTTACCTGCTTCATACTTATTGTTTGGTGTTGATGTAACTCGCTGGCTCCGTGTCCCTACCGGAAATCTGTGAAAAAAGCTTCATAGCTCATCGGAGTCCTCATCCAGGATAAAGATTCTGATGCTCGTGGGTTTTTCCCACGTACTCCAGTTTACTGCCACAATGCATGAACGCATTTTCCCTTAACGCAGCGCTTTTCAGAAATGCATCTACCATGCTAACCATTGACTTATTGCACTGTATTAAGGGTTCATATCTTATACAGATATCTTTCTTCATCGTGTATCAACACTAGAGATGAGTGACAAAGATGATGCATTAATACACTCAGCAATACACGTTGTGTGGCGTGTACAGTAAATCACTTACTCGATTCTCTCCGCATTTTCAGGAATGCCTCTTGCTTTTTACGATGTTCACACAGAATCTCTTGGAGTTGCGGCTTCTTTTTCTTTTTCCAAACGAGACGGCTTATGATGAAGTCAGCTCGTGCTGATGCGCTGGGTATGTAATAGACTTCTGAGAGCTCGGGTTGTGTGATGAGACCCTGGACGAGCAACTCGCGATGTAGCAGTGCAGGGATCCTACCGATCAACTCTCGTGCCACCGCAGTTTCCTCCGTCGTCGTTCTGAGCAATTCATCTTCGCTGTCACCCTTCTCTGCATCGGTGTTGTTTGTGCGATGATCTCCACTGTTTGCAAAGTGATCACAAATCCGAATATCTTCTCTGCTCTCATCCACAATCATGTTCTTCAATGATTGAGCTGTTACAAAAATTTGCAAGAATAAACAAAACAAATTTGAGTTCTAACATTGCAATTGTTGAATGCCTTCGTCACGATTATTATTATCATCATACGTTATTTGTAAGTCATCGCTGGGAGGTCTCCCCAAGCCACTACGTTTATTATCGTCCTGCGCTGACAATCAATTTCACTGTCGCAATATATTTCTGCACGTTAACTGATATCACTCAATCTCCATCTGTCACCAACAGCCATAAATGTGCCCATAACCACTCTTTGCTTTACATATTATCTTTATATCTCCAAGTTTAATTTAGAACAGCCATCTCCTCCATCACTTTTTGTAACTGTTTGTTTTTTTTTGCTTAAATTCTCCTTTCATCTTTCGGCATCTCTGCTCCCGATTTTATAATTAAATAAAAAATACCCAAATCAAGCCTCAATAGGAAATTTCAGAAAATTGGATGTTGTTGTCGCTGTGTTTGCGTTCTACAGAAACACAGAGCTCGGAGATACCCTCGCTCCGAGCTCCACGCTCTACTGCTATAACCTCGCGTCTAGACTCCCTCGCCTTCACTACCCCCGCCACACACAGACATAGCAGGTGAAGGAGGGCCAAATAACCTCCACGACCGACCCACAGGATGTGGGTGGTCACTCACTCAGCAGTGGATCAACAAATGCGATGTTCAGGTGCTCTCCTGCTGTGGCTACATCGCCGACGGCGACGATTCTGAACCGTATTTTCCTTCTGGGTATGAATACACTCCAAGTCAATGCCAATGATTCCCTATGCATGACACGCCCTTGTACTCACCTTCGTAAATCGCGACTGAGCCCGACTTCACCTGCATAGCCGGACAAAGCGGCCCACTTGGAATGTCGTCGAATGAGTGCAACAGCTCCATGGTGTTGGCGTTGTAAAACGAAAGTTTTCCTGCGTTAAAGTCCAATCGAACGCCGACTCTCTGCAAATGTTTAATCTCCGGATAAGGTATGGATTGGTCTCCATGTCTTGCAGAGTAATTTGAATCCCATTGAATGAACGCCCAAGACTGCTCATTCCAGCCCAGCCTGCCAGACTTTTCTTGACGATTCCTAGGAATCGACTCACGTGCGACGCCTATAGAACAGTTTCTAGAGGCTCTCACGTCCACTTCCCAGTAGTGGTCACCCGACGAGAAGTTCTCGAAGCAGATAACTATTTCCCACTGGTTAAACCTTTCTCCGTGATTAGAGTAAGTCTGATATTCCTGGTTCCACGTCACTGTGCTGAGATCATCAGAAACTTGAAGCTGTCGATGTGCCGAGTTGGGGTTCAGAGTGGGCGAGCACAAATCTGCAAGATAAACAAATCATCGTGTAAATCTTTACAATCACGAATCATTATCGTCAGCCATGATTAAGTCGTCGCCAAGAGAGGCAGAGGTGCACCTGGACATTTCTTGCCCATGCCACTGCTGGTGGAAGAATCTCGACTAGAAGCAGCTTCAGAGCCCCTTCTTGAGGGTATTTGGCCCTCCCTTCCAAGCTGGTTACATGAGCCACAGTGGCTAGGAGATGTTATCTACCTCGCCTGGTATGCATGAAGTCGCGTGTTCAATCCCGACCCTGACTCCATTTTATATTTGGAGTCTGTGTCTCTCTCTCCCCGTGGATGTTTCTCCGCATTTAGAATTAATATTACGCGTTTAGAGCATTAGGCTGCTATAAATGTCAACATGATGATATCAGCTACTTGATTGAGCTATCATTTGTAATGGGAAGGTCACTTCTGAAAAAGAGCTATTACATAGCAACTCAGTGGGGCTTTACCCAGTAAAATGAAATAGTTTCCTTGAAAAAAAATAGTTTTAGTATAGTTTACTCTACTACTGGTGACCACTCATTGTGCTGTACCCAGCAGTATTGCCTCGTCGTGTACCAAACCATTACAACGCGACAGCATCGGAGCAAGTGGTGCCATGCCATATTGCTCGAACATTGATTATCGGTGCTCTCCGGAATGCAAGCAGACAACTGAGGAATACTACGTTTTCTGAAATGCATTTAAAATATTGCTTTGTCCGAAGCTACATCGAACTGCGGATGTATGTTAATATATGCATGGAGCTACTGCCGGCGGTTAAATCAGCTCGAGTGCGAGTGCTAAGTGGATCGTTGCATAGCAGAGTCATGGGAGGTATTGGTGGCTTGGGAAGGTCTTCATCCAGTAGTGGATTGACCTTTGCTAATGATGATGTAAACGGGATAAGTATGATATGTATTCAGTGACCACTGAGATCGGCCTAAATTAGTCGCAATATCTTTTGGCCACTCCACCACTGCCCTGCCTGTGAAGGATTTCCCTGTTGTGATAACTTTTTTTTGGTCGATGTTGTTTGTTTCTCTTTAGTTTTGGTAATATTTATGTATTTAATTATTATTTTTATTATTTAACTTTCTGAGGGTGTTCATATGCTCAGTCATTGCTATATAAAATCGGATTTGTACAGTGCTGTGGGATTTAATTAGTATAAATGTCGCTTAATAAAATTATTATTACGAAGTGCTCTGGCCTGCAAAAGTGAAAAAAGCGACATTTCATGGATTGCAACGCTGACGAGTGTGTAAAGTGTACGCACGGCTCGTCTTCAGCATGTCCAGGAAATGCTGTTCCCTGCTCCGCTGTTGTTCGAGTATCTCCAGCAGCTTTTGGCGTTTGTCCTCCCCTCGTATCATGACGGGCAACAGGATTGAGTCCGCGCGCATGGCGGCGTCGGGAATTGTAAACGCCCTCCAGTACTCCTCTTCTGTAACTACATTCCTCCTCTTCAGCTCGTGCAGGAAAAGGGAGGGAGTTTTGCCGATCCGCTCTCGCAACTCTGGCAACTCCCTCTCGACGTCCTTCCAGTTGACTTTTTGGCCTCGCCCGATAACTTGACCGATTAAATCCTTTGCCATCTGCCAGAGTAAAGGCACGGCAAGTGAGTGTGCAGCAATCACCACATCATTATCATCATCACGCACAACACGGCTGACCAATAGGGAGCCATCCCTCGACTGCACCCGAACATTGATCAGCCTCCCATTTATTCCGATCACAGCCAGTCATCCGACTTCTCACTCGATTCAACTACTCCATTGCAACACCAGCCGCCCACATCAACACATCAACTTTCATCAATAACGTAAGAAAATATACAGCCACCTCTCTCTCTCGCTGTTCTCCTCCTTCATTCTCGAGCTGGGTAACGTTTTGGTAAACGTTGATATTACATGGCTGCTGTGTCTTGTAGCTACGGCAGGCTGTTTTTTTTATTATTATCAGTTTCGAGAGCCGCTGGTCAAACGAACAAAGCGATCAGCTACTAATTGTACATCTTGAGTCGGAAATTGTGGCATCGCTCCATCATCACTGAACACACTGTGATGGGAAAGATGCTCGCATGAAGATATTCCAAGTGTGACTGCAGGGATTCATATTATTGGTTCTTTCGGTAAAGTCACGTAGAAGCAAAATAATAAAATGATACAAATGAAACAATAAAATTATCACGACGTTTCTATTGCAACACAAGCAATCATCATCAGGTGTGAAAACCACAGCAAGAAAATAAAAAAGTGGCGTTTTTTTTCTTAATGTTAGCACCATAGATAGCAACTGGTGGTTGTTCATACGGACGAGTCCATCTATGCTCGGAATAGAGGAGGGGGAGAGATAGAAAGAGAATGGAATGGTGTCTGAAAGTCACCGTAAGCGTGAACACAATCAATTAAGATCAGAAATGGTTTACCAAATCCTTTCAATGATTGCTAAGCCAGAATCCATCTTCTCGGTTGAAATTGTCTCTGTGTTTGTATATGTGGATAGCCTCATGAACGAATCTCTCATGGTAGCCAGATGTCTTGCAGAGAACCTCTGTCTTGGAGAAGTCAATGTCATGTGAGCCCACTGAATTATGACAGTGATCCACCACGGCTGAGGTGTTGGTCCTACCCTGTTTTAGGTCTGCTTTGTGTTCACGGATGCGATCCATGAACACAAAGCAGACCTACCACAGAGGCAACTTAATTTGTAGACACCAGGGTACTGTATGTCTGTAATCACATATTTTACAGACGGGACCAGATCACGGATTTTATGTACTGTGTTGAATCGGACCTGGATCTTGTGTTTATTAAAGATTTTGGAGATATTTTTTGTGACCCCCGCAACATAGGGTAAAGTGATGGTTTTGAAAGGCTCCTCAAGGGGGTCGTTCTTTATGGTTAGAGTGATGGTTTTGCGAATTGTGTAGTCAAAGTAACCATTAGCCTTGAGAGCGTGGTGTACGTGCTTGAGTTCACTGGCAATGTGTTCATGGTCGGAGATGCATTGGGCTCTATGGTGTAGAGTCTTGATGAGGGAATTCTTCTGGGATGGATGGTGGTGGGAATCCGGTTTTAGGTAAGCATCCGTATGGGTAGCTTTCCTGTAGACAGAATGGCTCATTGAACCATCAGGTCTCTTTTTTTATTAGGACATCCAAAAAGGTAGCTTGCCATCTTTTTCGACGTCCATGGTAAATCTGATAGCTGGGTGTATGGAATTGATTTGGTCAAGGAATTGGTCTAGAGCAGGCCGGCCATGTGGCCAGATGACAAAAGTGTCATCCACGTACCTCCTCCATAAGGTTGGGCGTAGAGTGGCAGTTTGGATGGCGTCAGTCTCAAATGTCTTTATGAAAACGTTGGTTACAACCGTAGATAGGGGGGAGCGCATTGGGGTGCCCTCAGTGTGTTGGTAGAAAGTTCCATTACAGGTGAAGTATGTATTGGTTAAGCAGTGTGTCACCAGGGGGGGTTCCTCAGTGTTCAGTCCTTGATTAAAAAAGTCTTCAATGATTGCGATGGTGTTAGGTACAGGAACTTTGGTGAATAAGGAAACCTCATAAAAACTGATAAGCAGGTCGTCTGGGGACAGGGAAATACCGTTGATTGTCGATACCAGGTGAGTAGAGTTTAGTACCACAGAGGTGGTTTTTCCAGTGAAAGTCCGCAGGATTTCAGACAAAAAACGAGCCCGTTTGTAGGTGGGGGAGTTGATAGTAGAGACGATGGGACAAAGGGGTGTATCTTCTTTGTGTATCTTTGGTAAGCCAGATAATCTTGGTGGCCTGGTAGCAGAAGGTTTCAACGAGAACTGTTTGGTTTGATCAATGAATGCGGTTGAATCAGAAATGATTTTGTTGGTTTGTATGACGAGGCTGTTTGGTGGGGTTTATTTTTTTTATTTTTGTATAGCTGCCATCGTTGAGTAGTTCTTGAATTTTGTTGTTATATTCTATTTTATCGATGATGACAGTGGCATTGCCCTTGTCGGCTGAGAGTATTTCAGCGTCTGCAGCAATGTGACCCAGGCCCTTGAGAGCCACGTCTACTTGGGCTATTATATCATTAACTGGTATGTGTCTAGGTGTGACTTCAAAGTTTAGCCCTTTAGCTAAAACGGATTTCAGACCATCGGAAACAGAACTGTTACTGCGATGAACACGACTTTGTTAACGTCTAGCTTTTTGGTGTGTGGGTCCGGTTTTTTATTGCAGAGGAGGTTAAATTTGGAAATCAAGTTGTCTTTACATTTGGTCGACATAGTGGCAGCTAAAGAGGCAGTCGTATTGCCTACATGTTCCTAATCCGATGTGGACATTGTTGCCGTCAATGATAAGTGTGATTTGTAGAGTGTCTTGTCTAACTGATCTAGTTCGGTGCGCATAAGTCTGATTTTCTCTGAGATAAGAGCTAAGATAGTTCTAGACAAAATTCGTTTCGAATTAGAAGAAGTTACAGCAACAAAGGTCAGTGTAAATGCGATTGGTATTACCCCAGAGTCGCGGCATCTCTTCAGAAAGGTGAGAGACTCGATCAGCTGAGCCTTTTTATCCCGGAGTTTGTTGAAGGATCTCAAAGCTATGTGGAAACCCTCCCCGTAGAGGCGCCAAAATTTCAATTGAAAGCTTTCGTGACTACAGGGATTCATATTCTTGGTTCTTTCGTTAAAGTCCCGTAGAAGGGAAATAATTAAATAATACAAATAAAACTATAAAATTCACACGATGTTTCTAATTTCTTGCTTTGGTTTTCACACCTAATGATGATTGCTTGTGTTGCAATCGAAACGTCGTGATAATTTTTTTAATTTGTATTATTTTATTATTTCCCTTCTACGTGACTTTGCCGAAAGTGTTTTGATTATCAAGCAAAATACAACCGTACATTTTGGCTCAACTTTTGCCTTTTTTTTAAAGGATATTCACGGTAGGAACAACGAAGGCTAATTGCTTTTAAAAGAAGGCAATAATAAAACATTCCACGTGTAATGAGTCCACCAGACGAAGGTAGAGACGACACAGCTCGTCTTTGTTTTCTGCACGAGCTCACACCACGTGTGGGTCACTCCACTCCAAACCCCGCCAGGAAGCCGCCCCCCCATTGCCCCGCCTCATCCAGTGACGTCACGGCTCCCCGAGTGGGCGTTCCCTCTATCTCACGCCCCGCCCTCTCTATCCCTTCGTCCATGACATAATCTTCAATGGTAACCTGGCATCCCGTGGGTGTTTCGACCCCCGGATCGCGTGAGTATTAACACTACACATGAAGTGGCACATTTACTCCATAGATCCCAATGCACCACCATGTATGGAAGACAGGAAATATACAGAAGGTGCAGGGCAGATGGCCAGAACTAGGTGGGTAATTGTTGATTTACCCAATCAGCCACTCAGTCACCCTCTCACTCACCCACTCACTCATGCACTCACTCAACCACGCACTCAACTGAACACCCACTATCTCACCCACTAACCCACTCAATTTCTCACCCACTCACCCACTCAACGACTCACTCACGCAGTCACCCAACCACTCAATCACTCAATTAACTGCACACCCACTAACTCACCCACTCACTCTCTCACCAACTCAACCACTTACTCAACCTCTCACCCACTCACTCAGCCACTCACTCACGCACTCACTCACTCAACCACACACCCACTCACTCATACACCCACTCAGCCAGTCACTCACCCACTCAGTCATCCACTCACTCATCCACTCACTTACGCACCCACCCACTCAACCACCCACTCACCCACTCACGCACTCAACCACACACATGTCCACTCACTAGGCCGATCACCCTAGGATCAGAGCCTTGACCTCGTTAGAGAGTCAACACGGACCGGTTGCTGCAGATCATAATAACGCGGTCTGCTGAGGTTCTCATTCAGCAGTGGCATCAATAACAGGAGTGTTTTTCGGTTAGGTCACATAGACATAGCGAGGTGTAATGACTTACATTCACATGATCTTCATCCGTATTCAAAGATGTGGTCTCATTTGTAGAGCGACTGCTTTCTATGTAAGAGGAAAGATACATTATTATTGAACATTGTTATATACATGCTTGAGAATTATACATTACATCACATAGACCTGTCCTGATGGGCTTATGTTGATAATGACGATGATTATAATATTATTCTCTTCTTCATATGGCTTAAAGCAGGGGTCCCCAACCCCCAGACCGCGGACTGCTACCGGTCCGTGGCTTGTTAGCAACCGGGCCGCACAGCAGGAGGTGAGCGGTGAGTCTGCGTGTGGCCCGCCCCCATTATTTTACTTAACACTTCCATCCGCGCCTCTTCCCCGCACTGGGCGCTTGTCTCAGTCACGTGGTGTTGGTGAGCCCCACGAGCTCTAACCCCTAGTAGCCACAATGAGTAAACAATAAACGTCGCTGGAGAGCTTCTTTGAAAAGGGGGAAAGACCCAATGATGACCCCCCCCCCCGGTCCGTGAAAAACATATCTTCCACGGGGGTTTACTTTTCTGGCAAATCGCCCGATGATGCTGGTTAAAATAATTACCGGCAAAACGTGACGGTACTTAAATTGTAAATGTTGTGGATTTACTCTCCAACACACTGGTGGGCTGAAGTAGTATATAACGCTATACATTGCACTATACTATACACTACTATACGCTACACTACTATACATTATACTAATATACACTACACCACACTGTGATGATAATGAGAGAGAGACATATGCAAACTCTAAATATACAGCAGCAGGCATCGTCATGGTCCGGCATCGAACCAACGACTTCCTGCGTACCAGGCGAGGGAGTCAACATCCTCATAGCCACCGGAACTTACCCCAGGGGAAGCGTTTGCGGTGGATTCTGTAGAGAAGGATGCCCACGGTCACCACAAGTAAAATGGTGATCACGGCAGCACCGATGACAGCACCGATGACAGCATCGGCGATAGCTCCAGGAATAGATATTCTTGGTTCTTTCGGTAAAGTCACGTAGAAGGGAAACAATAAAATAATAAAAATATAAAACAATTAATATTCTCACAACGTTTCGACTGCAACGCAAACAATCATCATCATGGGTGAAGACGTACAGTAGAGTAGTGTATAGTGTAGTGTATAGTAGAGTATAGTGTAGTGTGTGTCATGTATAGTGTATAGTAGTGTATAGTGTAGTGTATAGTAGTGTATAGTGTAGTGTGTGTAGTGTATAGTGTAGTGTATAGTAGTGTTTGTGTAGTGTGTGTGTAGAGTGTGTGTAGTGTATAGTGTAGTGTATAGTGTAGTGTATAGTGTAGTGTAGTATTGTGTAGTGTATATTGTATAGTCGTGTGTACAATGTATAGTAGTGTAGTGTATTGTAGTATGTAGTGTATAGTAATGCGATTTGTTGTGTCTAGTAGTGTGGTGTGTAGTGGTTTGTAGTGTATTGACTAGTAATGTAGTGTAGTTTATGTAAAGTAGTTGTATTGTAGTGTAGTTGTATAGTGTAAAGTGTGGTGTAAGAACCACCACTGGTTGCAATAAATTGTCACGGTGCGATTGCCATCAGTTTCTCTCTTGCGTGGCAACGAGGCACGGGAGACTTCGACACCTCACATGGCCCCAAGAGTGCACCTAGCCTGGCACAGGTGCCGTGGGGACGTCACCGCCACTTAGCGGTGAGTGGCTGTTGTTGTTGGTACATCGTGAGAGATGGCAACGAATTGTGGGTAGGGGTATGGGTGGTTGGCCTTCACACTTAGCAACACAAATATTATTTGTCGTGTCCTGCTCTAAAAACAACATACGCAACCGAGGATCAACGCTACAATTTGCAGAATAGGTTAGACCTTTGAGTTGAAGCTTTCGTGACTGCAGGAATTATTATTCTTTGGGTCTTTCGGTAACGTGACGTAGATAGGTTCCAAGAAAAAACAAATAACAAAAAACTACGACAATCGCAACACAAGTGATCGTCATCAGGTTGGGAAGCTAAGCGACATGTCTCAGACTGTGTTCGTGAGCATAAGGAAGATTTTAAACACGGGAGGACCAACACTTCAGCGGTATTGGATCATTGTTTTAATGCGGTTGTCTAACACGAAATTAATTTCTCTAAGACGGAGGTACTTTGCAAGCCCACTGGCTATCAACAAAAAAATGTTAACGAAGCCACCCATATATACAGACACAGACACAATTTCAACCGAGAGGATGGGTACACACTCAGCAATCATTGGAAGTACGTCGTCAACCAGCTGAAGTCATAACTGGCTGTAATGTTTCCATCTTGTCACCTTCCAATGTTCGTTTTATTTTACTAAAGACGGGACGAGCAATTCGAGTTCTTGTGGTGTCTCCCCTGCGTTGGGCGCACCACAAGTTGTTTATTTTCTCCATGCGTCTCCCCCTTTCTTGTTTCTCTGATTTCACATTAACATCAACATCTCCGTTTGTGCTGATACCAGGACGCTTGTGCCCCGCCCACTTTGTCCTGATACCAGGGCGCTTGTGCCCCGCCCACTTTGTGCTGATACCAGGGCTCTTGTGCCCCGCCCACTTTGTCCTGATACCAGGACACTTGTGCCCTGCCCACTTTGTGCTGATACCAGGGCGCTTGTGCCCCGCCCACTTTGTCCTGATACCAGGGCGCTTGTGCCCCGCCCACTTTGTCCTGATACCAGGGTGCTTGTGCCCCGCCCACTTTGTCCTGATACCAGGGCGCTTGTGCCCCGCCCACTTTGTCCTGATACCAGGACGCTTGTGCGCCGCCCACTTTGTCCTGATACCAGGACGCTTGTGCCCCGCCCACTTTGTCCTGATACCAGGGCGCTTGTGCCCCGCCCACTTTGTCCTGATACCAGGGCGCTTGTGCCCCGCCCACTTTGTCCTGATACCAGGGCGCTTGTGCCCCGCCCACTTTGTCCTGATACCAGGACGCTTGTGCCCCGCCCACTTTGTCCTGATACCAGGACGCTTGTGCCCCGCCCACTTTGTCCTGATACCAGGGCGCTTGTGCCCCGCCCACTTTGTCCTGATACCAGGGCGCTTGTGCCCCGCCCACTTTGTCCTGATACCAGGACGCTTGTGCCCTGCCCACTTTGTCCTGATACCAGGGCGCTTGTGCCCCGCTCACTTTGTCCTGACACCAGGGTGCTTGTGCCCCGCCCACTTTGTCCTGATACCAGTACGCTTGTGCCCCGCCCATTTTTAACCTTTCAAACAGCTTCCGTTTAGTGGCTGCCCCTCCTTTTTTCCACCTGATGACGGTCGCTTATTTTGCAATCGAAACGTCGTAGATTTTTTTTTATTTTGTATTAGTTTTGAACCTATCTACGTGATTTTACCGAAAGACCCTAACAATACTACACTATACACTACACTACTAAACACTACACTATACACTACACCTCTATACGCTACACCGACCCTCCTGCATCGATTGTGAGCACGTTAGAGCCGCGTGAGTGCGGCGACCAGTCGTCCGAACCTGCTCTTCCCTCCTCTTCCTTGCAGAGGTCCGATCGGGTATCCCTCTGGAAGCCGTCTTTACAGCGACAGCGAGTGTCCTGCCTGGTGGTGCATGTCCTCTCAGTGTCTTCAGCTGCAGAACAACACCACCCCCATCACCACCACCACCGCTATACGTGGGTAGTACATTGGCGAGTGTGATCGCACGCAGTGCAACCGCTCGCGTGCACGGCCATACAGAACGAAGGCGCCAGGGTTGGGATCCAACCCACAACTGCCCGCGTACCAGGCGAGGTATTTAACATCTCCCTAGCCACCGTGGTGCCCACAGTGGCGAGATTTGACTTCGTATCGCGAGCGGTGCATGAATCACGCAAGCCCCTTGATTCCCCAAACCCGTCCCCTCCTTTTTGTGAACGGGTTCACGTCGTGTCTACAAACAACCACCCACCCCTCTTACAATTCACGTTGCAAACGGTGCACTTCTTGCACTCGTTGGAGCTGTTCGGTTCGTCCGTGTAGCCTTCTCCCGCACGGCAAACCGTGCAAAACGTGCCGCTTGTGTGGGAGTCGCAATCCATCACCTTCCTGCTACCTGCAAGTTGGCAGCAGGGAAGGTGGGTGGGTAGGTGGGGGGGAGGGAAACAGACGCACCGACTGAACGAGAATACAAATCAAAAGGTTTTGGTATTTGTTGCCCTTCACCGCCTTGGTGTGTTCCAGACTCGCGAACCATTCCACTTAGGAACGGGTCTCAGTAACGAATTCGATTCGTAACCCGAGTACTGCCCATCCACTACTATACACTGTACTGTACACTACACTGTACACTACAGTATTAGTTTGCAGTGTATATCCTTTGGGTTTTTCGGTAAAATCATGTAGATAGGTTTAAAGAAAATCACAAAAAACTACGACGTTTCGATCACAACACAAGCGATCGTCAGCTTTCAACCTATCTACGTGACTTTACTGAAAGACCCAAAGAATATGAATTCCTGCAGTCACGTCAGCTTTAAGTCAAGATTCAGTTTGCAGTTTGTCGTCCCCTCTCCCCGCACTTCTGAATAGCTATGGTTGGCTACGCACGATGTGAAAGAAGTTCACCGTACACAAATACATACTGCTACATAATGCACTATACACACTACACTTCTATACACTCCACTACTAGACACCACACGATAGAGTACTATACACTACTATACTATGCACTACACTATTATACACTACTATACACTGTACTATAGAGTACACTACACAATATATAGTACACTCCAGACTATACACCACACGCTATTGACTATGCTACTACACACTACACTACTATACACCACAATATTAATTTCAAAACTCATTTCTTTGGAGCTGCTGCTTGTTGTTGTGTTGTTTGTTGTCAGTCCCCCGCACCTCCGATTACATAAATTGTTTAGTTTGTTGTGCATAGAAGAATGGATACATGGAGGTGCAATTTGTGAAGCAACAGATTCCTTACCTGACACCAGCATATACGTGCATACGAACAGTCAGGAAAGTCCACCAAGGCCTCTGATCGGTGCAGGGAGGCTTCAAAGACGATTGTTCAGGAGGAGAGACTCAAAGAGGATTGGAGGAGAGACTCAAAGAGGATTGGAGGAGAGATTCAAAGGTAAAAGGGGGGTTATGAGGGTTGACTGTAGGGGGCGACTTTTGACAGCAGTTGGAGGAGGATGCAGATTGGCTGAAGGGAGTGGGTTGAGCAAAGCTTCCACAAAAGTGTCGTGTATAGTGTATAGTAGTGTAGTGCCGTGAATTCACTCGGACAACAACCGTCTCTTTTTCCGCCGTCACTTGTATTCCATCGTTCCGTACACACAGTAATTCTCTCCGTGCTCCGCCAACTCGGACACTCCGATTTACTTCAGCATCGTCCGTGCATCCCCTTCCACACACAGTGGTTCTTCCTCTATCTCTTCACACACAGTGTCTCTTCCACACAGAGTGGTTCTTCTTCTATCTCCTCACACACAGTATCGCCGCTATCTCTTCACACGCAGTGACTTCCCTTCCACACACAGTGGTTCGTCTTCTATCTCCTCACACACAGTATCGCCGCTATCTCTTCACACGCAGTGACTTCCCTTCCACACACAGTGGTTCGTCTTCTATCTCCTCACACACAGTATCGCCGCTATCTCTTCACACCCAGTGACTTCCCTTCCACACACAGTGGTTCTTCTTCTATCTATTCACACTCAGTATCCTGTCTGTCTATTCACACACAGTGACTCCATCTATCTATTCACACACAGTGACTCTATTTCCGCTAACGCTAACTCTCCCTGTCGCTATTTACTGTCTTTGGGGTTCGGCTCTCTACCTATTCTTCCCTAACATTGCCAGCTGTCCTCTTCGCATCTCTCCGCCTCTCGCCAACAACTGCCCAGCAACAACTCTCTCTCCGTTCAAATCACCTCGCGTTTTATCCCCTTTCGCTTTAGCCTTAATTAATTGCCACGTGGCTCGCTGGC